CCTTTATCACTGAATTTCTTTACTGATTGTACCATTCCTTCAAGACCTTTGTCATCTTCAAAGCATCCACAAAAAAAAAAAAAAAAAAAACATATATATATACATATATCTAAGAGGTGATAATGAGTGTCATTAGAAGATACCACCGTTTCTATCAAAGCCCTTATTTCCACTGACCAAAAACTGTCTTACGCCACTTGAAAGTGACGCAAATTTCATTCGCGACACTTCCACCAGCCGGTCGCGACAGCAACTCTGCCAATGTTTCTACACTGTTGCCAAAGGTTCGACTCAACCCACATACAAAGGAATCATACTCAGAGTTTACGAATCTGATTTTATTTTTGAATTGTATTGAGTGGTTAATCACTGTTTTACTGATATTGCATTAACAAATAACAATAAACACGTTAGTTATTAACATCATAGAATTACAAATTAGTGAAAGCTACAATTTGTTAATTGATATTAACTATGTTTAAAAAGATATATTAGTTTATGTCATCATAGTCAATTATACATACAAAATAATTATAGTGATTATGTAGAACTTTTTTGTGTAAAATTTCGTAAGATTTTTTCGACCATCCAAACACACTTTGTAAACAAGACGGGAGTCTGTTTGAGATACTTCCGCGTAACGTATTGGTCATGGAACACTTGTACTGGTCTGTGAAGATGTACAAGGCTAAAACATAAATGATATTATAAAAGCAAAATCGATTGTTGCCTGTGCTTGACATATTGAAATTATTTAATTAAAAGCTTAGGCACACGAAAGATGAGCCTGAGCCATAATCATCTTAGCCATGGTCCAATTGATATGAAAGCATGTTAGTAGTAAAGCTTATACTCTCTATTGTTATATATGATAGTAGTGTATATGTGTATGTATATGTATATATATATATATATATATATAATATATATATTTACTTATACACATATATATGTAATACACACGTTTATACATACATATATATATATATATATATATATATATATATATATATAATATATATATATATGTGTGTGTGTGTGTGTGTGTGTGTGTGTGTGTGTGTGTGTGTGTTTGTGTATTTATGAGCGTGTGTGTGTGTATTTATGAGCGTGTGTGTGTTTGTGAGTGTGAATACATCTAGTAAAGTTGTTTATACATGACCGCCTCCATGAATAGGGGCCGGGACCTAAGAAAGTGTAGCACGACAGTTCTTGTCGGTGGAAACGAGGACTCAGTTGTACGTGAACTGAGCGTGCTCTTTTCATGTGTTAGGACCAGATTTGTTTTCCAAAATGAAATTATAACTTTTAAGAAATTGATCATAATGGGAGACAGCTTATAGAATTCAAGTGCTCCAGTCATGAGTTAAGGTGCTGTCACACTAGCACTTTTCCGTCAAATTTTTAACAATTTTATTTTACATAAATACAAACATTCTCGAATATAGCTCTTGATTTGACTATGCTTGGCTGAAAAAGTTGACGGAAAGGTGTTCAGACGGAAACGATCATTATCGTCTGACTGAAAAATCGACAGAGCGCTCAAAAAATGGACAAAATTTAAGAAAATTGTAAAAAAGTTGACGGAAAAAGTGCTAGTGTGACAGCACCTTTAATAACACTATCAAAAGCTTTACGTTAGTCGATCCAAGCCATGCGTAGGTTTTTATGTCTACTTTTAGTTTTCAAATATCATTCGATTAATTAGTAACTGGTCTTTGCACCCATGCGACCCTCACTTGCATCTTTTATGTTCTATAGGGAAAAGTTCATTTGAATCTATGAGCGCGTAGGTTCATTCAGTGAGAATCGAGTTGTCAATTCAATATATGTTGTCTTTAAACATGTTATAGGTCTATAGTTCTTTGGTTTGTTTGTTTCGTTAGTTTTGGGGAGCAAGTCAGTCCTAATAACTAATCTGTGGAGTGTTTTCTGGGTTTCTCACATGTTATGGGTCTGTAGCTCTCTGGTTTGTTTCGTTATTTTTTGAGGAGCAAGTCTTAATAACTAGTCTGGGGGAGTGTTTTCTGGGTTTCTCACCATCTCATATAAGTTTATGAGATTATGCGTCCCAAGGAGTGAGTGTAGTCAGAAGTTTTTTACTTTGTCAATTTCTACTGATTTCCATTTCTGTGATTTCTTCAGCGCCGTTTTAACTTCCCCTGTATTCTGTCCACTGTTGTTTTTCAATATGTGTATTAAATTGCTCTAAAGTTTTAATCCATTCTGCATTTTCATTAAATCCTTTATTATTACTCCAGTTGCTCTTCCAGAACTCATCGACCTTTTCAATAGGTAATCACCGTTATTTTTAATTCCTTACTTCTATGTAAAAATTTTTGGCGCGTTTTAAAATTTTCATTTCGTCTATAGAATTTCAATTTTCTTCGTACCTTCTGATTACTTGCGCTTGAAGTTATATATTTTTTCCATCACTTTTTTTTCACTAATGATATATTGTGTTTTTGTTACTTAGCATTTCTTTGTAATGTTTCTGCAATTCACGTTGATACCTCTTTGAAGCTGACTAATTATTATCATCGTCATTAATACCATTATAATTGTTACCATTATCATATATCATTAATAACATTTACAAGGAAAACAAAAGAAATGGAAGTATTTTAAAAATTGTGGAGCTTTTATTTGCAGAATCACTTGGTACCTATCGTATAAAAATTCTGGCATTGCTCTGGCTGATTCTGAACTTCTATAGTCTCTTAAAGAGTTTAGTGATAAATGTCAGACACGTACGGAATTCAAACAATTATTTAACACACATTTATCAATGTCTATAATTCTAAAAATAAACATGGCTTTCTGTATATAATCATACCACATTCACATGCGTTTCATAATAATATATATATATATATATACATACATACATACATATATATATATATATATATATATATATATATATATATATATATATATATATATATATATATATATATATATATATATATTTAATGCTCCATAAATGGTCATATGAAGTTACTAAATAAAATATAAGAAGACATTTTTACCTATTCGTCGATAAAGACGAGTTGCATGAACAGCTGGGGCGAGCGGATCTTAAAATTTGGCGGGAAAAGTTTTCAAGCATTGCGAGAAATTGCCGTTAAAGTCTTACTTTGAACATTACATAAATAGAAAAAAATGAAATAACTTTTAAAAAATCATACAGGATGTTGCATAGCAAACAACAGGTATGGTCTCCCTGTACGTCCAATGATATGAAAATAAAACGCAGCTATTTACTTAGCAAACACATTTCGTTACATTGTATCGTATGTCCTGTGGGGGTCGGATTTACCAGTATTAAATTGTGGGCAGGTTTCGTACACTTTTTAGGCATAAAAAATCCATGACTTTCCAGAGAAGTTTTAGCATTTTTCCATGACTCTTTCCACTTTCCTGGAACATTGAAGCATATTCACTATACGTTTCCATTTACAACATGTACACTGGCTGTAATTCAAACTGATGTGTCAAAAATATAAGATGTGTTTTACTGACACCAGTGACTAGGTTATAAAGGAATCAGCATGTATATTTAGGCTATGTAGTATTTCAAGTTTTCATTCAGATACATCAATCTTCCGAAGTTTATTTTGATTTCTTTCTGAAGACTTTCTTTAAGAATGAATTTACACACACACACACACACACACACACACACACACACACACACATATATATATATATATATATATATATATATATATATATATATATATATATATATATATATATATATATTACAGAGAGAGAGAGAGAGAGAGAGAGAGAGAGAGAGAGAGAGAGAGAGAGAGAGAGAGAGAGAGAGAGAGAGAGAGAGATTTTTTTAATTTTTATGAAAAATACTAAATTTCCATGATTTTCCAAACGAGAAAACAAAATTCCACATTCCAGGTCTGGAAATTTCAACTTCCATGATCTTCCAGGACCCATACCTGTGTAAGTCTTCCTGGACAAGATAACGACGAAGTAAGTAAGTTAATTTGCCAAGAAGCACTTTGGGTTATCAGTCACTATGTGGCATCACACCAATTGAATAATTAGAACGGCAAATCTGAACGCTAGTCGCTTGGCCTGCCTGTATGTCTCGCTCTCTCAGATGCACAAAATATTTATACGTCAGTTACATATGCAAGACCTGTAACATAAATATTGTAACATACTGAAATACACACATGTGCCATAGTATTAAAAAGTGTTTCATTAAAAACTCATAAAAATATATTAAATTATATATTAAATTATCACTAAACAGAACACAACTTTCAATTTAGCAAATCACTCGATCCTAGAAATTGCATTACATATACATATATGAAAAAAAAATCAAATCTAGTTACTAATACTGAAAGTTGAGATTTGAGGCAAGGAAGTCACAATGCTCAAGGGGAACTGTCTATCACATTCAAACCCAAACAAGAAAGAACATTATGCATTAACCCTGATGTAGGTAGCGGGCATCTCAACCAACTGATAGACTTCGGAAAATATGTACGCACAAGGTCTATAAATGTACATAAAGACCTTGTGCACGCATGTCCTGAGTCAGCGAACACGAATCCCGTTTTTTGAAGGGGGCCGTACGTACTCAGTTCATCGGCAGACCACTCAGCACGCACGCATATCACTCACGCACACACACACATCACACACACACACACACACACACACACACACACACACACACACACACAACAAAAGGCACAGAGACATATATGTGAATAAAATAAAAGACATAGTTAACAACAGACACGAGTAAGGAGGAACTTCCCTCTATCAGTGTTAGACATGGCCTGTGTGATTGGTCTTCTCACCACCACCAGTCTTCCTGTTGCGAGTTACTTTCAGCCCATCTGGGATGGTTTATTACTATACCACAAAGCTATATCACAATATGTAAACAACACCTGCTTTGTACATTGGTTAAATATCTGTTCCCCTTTCATGTCTTGCTTTTAAAATTTCAAGTTTTTGTTTCCTATACTCTTCGCGCAGAGCATCATTCCTTGCTTCTCTTTCCTCTCTAGATTTGAGTAACATCAAAATTTCCTCATTTTGCTTGGCAGTTTTCTCCATAAAATGATCAAGCTTGTCCACCAAAATGTTTACAGACTCTGTCAATGAATCACGCAATAGCTCCGTTTGTGTGTCAATAGTTCTCGTTCTGGAGAGCTGCCCCTCTTCGGCAGCAGCACATGAAACTTCATTAGTTTGTGCTTCTTTTGGTTCTTGCGGTGTTTGTAGCTGCTGTACTGCTTCTTTCTCTGATGTCAAGGGAACCTGGTGATTTCCTGAAGGATTGGTAGTAGGACCCCCAGAACTTTTGTCTTGTGGCTGCATACTTGCTGGTAGTGTGTCACCTAAGATTGAGCGAAGCAGATTAAAGTGCTTTGGTAATAGTGCCCTTGCCCCTCTCAGCTTGGTTCTTTGATAGGTTCTGTATCCATATTTCATAGATCTCCATTTCTTTTCAACTTGTTTTCTTGTAACGCCTTGGAACTGAAAAATATAAACTTTGTTACAAACATTTACCATGATTCCTCTAATAAAAATGTACAAAAAATGAATTCACCACTGTACTTTGATGTACTATAAACATTACAGCCTTTGTATCATACTCACAACTTCTTGTAACGTAGCAGTTATTTCTGAATAGACTTTGGTTTTGCTTAAGGAATTTCCGATCAATCTTGGGAAGTTTTCCTTCATCAGCAGGAGGAGTGCCTCAACTTGGTGCTTTTGCCAGATGGGGCGCCCGCGCCCTTGAAGCAAAATACATATACAGTTAGGGACACATTAAAAACTGGAAATTGTATAATACGAAATGCCTGCTTAATTCAGTTTATGAAAAGTTAAAATCGTATATAACATTCTATTAATTTGCAACTCACTACAATGAAAGTGAAGTATTTACTGAACCTTCATTATGGTTTTTTTTATATTTATTTACTGTATGTACTCCTCACCTGCATTTTTTATCATTTCAGTATTTTGTTCTGCTACAGAGGAGTTGCCATCACAGGCATTTACTTCTTCAACGGTTTGATGCAGTAGACCACATGACCCACATATGAACCTGCAATAATATGCCAGTGATTATATCAAACCCACTCATAAACGAATAACAACCCCCCTTGACCATGACTCAAATTTCTATCACTTCACACGACCGCATGAGATTTGAGTCCTGGTAAGAAAAGATTATTTTGTTATATCAGTGCGTCATTGCATTATTCCACCTAATGCAATCATACCGCTGGAAAAAAAACTTCAACCTGTGTAGGGAACCCATTGCTTTAACTTACTGAGGGCATTATGGGCAGTAGAAAGAGGAAAGGACATTATAGGCCTATTGCTTGAAAAAAGGTCAAGTACAACAACATAAGGGGGGAGGAGGAAATACATACATTTCTCACCTAATCACTTTACTCCACAGCATTACTACTGCACACAAAGATACTTAACATTCCAGAAGGATCTCCTACCTCCCTTCAGTGGGCTATATTTCAAAATCTGCAACAGTCTACATATTGCTCCGTTTCAACACTAGGACCTCATAATGCTCCTCCATAAAGGTGGTGACTAGAAAGGCCTGATGGACTTGCCCTTCTGAAGACCAGTACCCTGTCTCCATTTACCTTCTGCAGCATCAAATGTTCTTTTTTCCTGCTGTTTTTTGAGATCCTTTGAACCTGATGCCTCTTCTGCTTGCTGCTAATTGTGTATTGATAATTTTCACCAGGATCCCACTCCTGTTCAATGCCACCCACCCAAAAAGTTCTTAAGGGAAAGAATTTTCTGTCAAAAGGGTTGTGTATGCTGGCCAAGTCATCTGCAAAATTTCTTGACTTGATATCCCAGTTGTAGTGCTACTTTATCGACTCTTGTAAGTCTCTGCCTCTTAGTCTGGCAATATACATGCTTAAAACCATTTAATTAAGTTAAGTGTTTTGAGTAACTCCAGTGTCAAGAGTTTAATACCTTACAAGTAAATGTGGAAGTGGTCCAACTATACACCTGAATGTGGTCGGGTTCTGTAGCACTGTGGCATTTACTCCAGCCCCATTTAGGCTGTAAAGAGTTGTCTGGCACTCTAAATCGCACGCTGTTACAAACCTCTTTTCCAATGCTGCTACCTGGAGGTTACCCCACAATATCTTAGCCAACAAAAAAATCTATGGAATAACATCTATGAGCTTTGTTGTTAATGTGTCACATTCCTATTATTATTGTCATTGTTATCTTAACATAATTGCAAGTATTTCATGCAACAGATAAAGCCTAATATCAATGTCAAACCTGTGTATGATTATATTGCATACTGCCTATAATGTGAAGGCATCCTCCTCACTCTTCGAGATTAATGACCTTTCTCCCGGTTCATGACGATGTGTATATCCTGGGAAGCTGGGTTTTAATGTTTTATCTATTTCATATCACTTGAAGCATCTCCATAATTTCATGAGCCCTAATGAGCCAACTTGTCCATTCAACTTGCCATATCGTCAACACACATACACGATCCATTGCTGAATACATAAAATGACAACTACTTGTCCTATTTTGATGTCAATTGTATTACGTTTTATTGGCTCTTTTGTGCTTAAAATTATACCTTTCTTTAAAATCTTACACCAGTTTCACACGTGATTCATTATAAAATATCTATTAACACTCCTTAAATGGCCAAATGAAGTTACAAAAACTATAATAAATATTTGATATTTTATCTATTACCCTGTGGTACATGGCGCCAGGATGTCTTCTGATTGTTTAGATTTTCCGAACCATGTATCAACAGGTGCATTGCAAACACCTGTCAGAAGATAGAATTAGCACTAAAACGCAACTTCCCAAATCTAGAAGATAGACAAGTTTAAGTTTAAAATGTACTTGATAACTGGGCTGATAATGTTCATGATGCAAGTATTTTAAATGAATCTTTGAAATGAGAAAACCTAAGGGCAATAAAGGTCTTGCATCTCGACTTCTATTCTTAATCTACGACCTGTGGACCGGAGGAAGTATAATGGTTCTCATATAAAAACAAGGGATGTGACAGAGAGAGCATTTGTGTCCTCAATATCACTGCAGACATGTTATGTACTGTTTTGCACAATTGCTGCCATAACTGAAAAAAAAAAAAAAAAATTGAATCTTTGATTGGGTGCTAGGTTGTACATTGTTATTTGCTATTTTTCTCACAATGTTTTTATCAAAGCAATTCTTGTTCACGAAAATCTAGATTGTAAACCCAAGTATGTGTTTTGGTTTGTTAAATGAAACACTAGCATTATTAATTATTTTTATTTCTTTTGAGATGTATGTCATCATATTCATCTTTACAATATTGAAAAGGAACCCAATCATTCTAATATATAACCACACTCTTTTCTTTCTCATATAAAACTATGGCTTCCTACACCCATAATAAATGACACACAAAATATCACTTTTTCTCAGCCGTACGCTTGTATGACTCCGCCATCTCAGCGTAGGCTTTCTGGCCTGCTGCAAGGAAGAGGGAAAACGAATGGCCTAAGGAGTCTATGTGCTGCTGAACACTGTCGATCAGTCTTCCTGCCTTCTCATACAGTTTCATCTTCTCCTGGTGTTCCGCCTCCAACAACCTCTTCTTTGTCTGCAGCCAGTCGTCTTGGCTTTCTTGCGCAATCTGATAACACTCCTGCAGACTTTTCTTCTTCCCAGGGTCTCGGTCACTTTGCCTGTTGGGGTGCTGAGCAGGATGTCCAGAAGAGGATTTGTTTGGACGTGAAAGCCAGGTACCATAGTATGGAAGATGTAGATGGAACATGTGGTGCAGAAAACTCGAGTGATGGGGAAGGCGTGGAAGGTACAACAGGAGAGGTGGAGGCTGAATTTGAGGGGACAGCATCAGTGGTGTTGACAGCAGGGGTGGAACTGGATTCAGGCTCGAGTTCTGAAATTATATTTTGATTACACATGAAAAAAATAGCACGAGCATACTAATAGCAACAAACTTGGTTTCAAAAGCATTTAGATTATAGGCTTTTAATGGAAATTAATTTACATATACACTTTTGATGATCATCACACTCAACATATTTGTTTTACGTGGGTAAAAACTGTAAATCAAATTCCTAAGTTGCATTATCCTACCTGTAGTAGCCATATGGGTAGGGCCATCTTTATTTGCATTGGGCATCGTAGCAGAAACAAATGAGATGTCATTAATTGATAATTCCTGCCCCATGATCTCCATTGCTGACATCATCGCCTCTGTAAATTTTGGGGGGTCTGGCGGCGGACCTCCTTCATTGGCAAGGACTCGGCGTCGGTACTTAGACTGTTCCTCCTTCACACTGGAAGAAAAAAAGCAAAGCTTTTACATTTGAAGTTAAGATATAAACTATTGACTCATTTTAAAAAGTATCAATTTCTTTTGGCAACTTTTTCTCGAAGCAGACAATAATCTGGCTAATAGTGGTCTGTAATTAATGATTCTTCAGACTGTAACATTTATAGCCAAGGATTTATTAGATGCATCTTCTTTCAAAACCACCTTCCTGATTTGTAATATGTGCTTTGAACTACTATTCATTGTCTTGCTAAACACAGTATTGTTTTAAGACACAATATATCGACTGTAGGCCTTGAAACCATGATGGGCAGGCTTAATATAGTGCAAATGAGAGTAATTTCCATTATTCTTAAACATAAATACACATATAACCTAAGACCCTGGTATACTGAGTTAGTATTTCCATGTCTTTTCCCTAGTATTGCATCAGGTACCCAGATTCGCCTGTGAACTAAACTGGTGTGATGTTCCTAATAACAAGGTGTTAAATTTAGTGTGTGCAACTGAAAGAAACTTAACTAGAAACTTACCGTCGTTTTATGTGATCCAAAGATCTCTTCAACTGATTAGGTTTGCGCGGTTTCTGGCCAGGGTTAAGCGAGTTAAAATTCTCCGCAACTTCTTTCCAGA